AATATGCCAGGCAGCACTGCTCAACCACTCCCACAGAATGTGATAAAACCTTTTATCAGAAGCTTTGACCCTTTACTAAAATGTAGCTCACAATAGCTTTTTTGTTTTGTTCAGGGTATAAACACTTAAAGCAGTGCCTAGTGAAAAAAGGGTGTCCAGTAACGATTGCTGAACTGAATTTATGGGAAATACCCAGAATTCAAATAGCCACTATATGACAAAAAAAGTCACACCAGATTAAAGTATTCAGAGAACCCAAAGGGAGGTAGACAGCAGGGACAGTGGTTCTAGAAACTGGATCTGAGATAAGGATCTGGGTTAGACTTCTGTAAAGTGACAACAAGCAGGAAATACTACTCCAGAGATTAAATTTATGAGTTCAGGTAACCCCTAGTGAGTACATTTTTGGGGGATGCTGTACACGAAGGAATTCCAACATCTGAGCATTTACTGTACAGGATTCATAGGCCCTTCTAAACTGAAGAAATCAGCTGAACAAGACAGCTATTTTTCATTAACACAAGGCCTCATCTTCTACTCCAGGGCCCCTACTCCTACTGCTTCAACCCCCATTTACAGCAAAAGCTAAAAGAGTTGACCAGGTAGGAAGTTTTACTGGTTCTCAGAAGAACAAGCCCTTGGTCTACGGTTACCAATGGCAACATTCTGCTCAAATCAGGCCCTGCACCTGTTAACAAGACTGCTTCTCTGGGTGCGAGACAGTGATTCCAGGATTCTAATCTTCTTAGGTTCTTCTTAGGTTAGCATCACAATGCAAGTTAGACGTTCCTTCTCTTAATTTCTATGTCAAACAGAGTTAACTGTAGAATTTTTCAGAGGCCTGGAGGAACGAGCTGTTGAGACAAATATACCTAGGGCACCCCTGAGTTACCCTTAGATATGAAGTGAGGAGATCCTACACAGAGTTGGGCTATAAAAAGCAAACAGGCAGTTGGAGAGAGCTGCCCATCCCAGACATTCTTGAAGCTGTGGTGACTGCCTGGATGGTTGTTCACAGAGCAAAGAGGAGAGAGATGGGCTGGAGATAATGAGGGGATTTGGGTCTTTCTATAAAAACAGCAGTTTCCAATCAGAAAAACAGATGACAGGTATCCAGCTAGCCAACCCACAAAGGGCACGTCCCCCATCCTGGCAAAGTCTGATTGCTGGGATGAAGCCTGCCCAGAGGTACAGTGAGCCCTTTCTAGGTTAACGTAATCGGATGGATATGGGACACCTGCCACTCACTGCAAAGCGCTTCACAGAGCTAACTGGCTGCATTCATCTGCTTAATAAAGCCAGAATCTGAAACAAATCCTCTACCCAGTTTCTCACAGCCGTATTGTAGAGAATGCGCCTTTAATTAGAGCCAGACTGCACAGTGGTGGGGCTCAGCTATACTGTGGTTTGGCACTGCAAGGCAGAAAAGTTACCATGTATTTTTCTAGGCAAGCAAAATAAGATGGTGTTTAATATCAGATATCCCTCCAGGAAAAGAACATACTGTGTAGCTCAGAGAAATGATGTAAAAGTTTGAGTTAATTTTTGGCTTGTGTCTTTTTTTTTTAAATTAATGGAAGTACTGGGGATTGAACCCAGGACCTCATGCATGCTAAGCATGCGTTCTATCACTGAGCTATACCCACTCCCCCATTTGTCTTTTAATAATATTCAAGTTTATGTTTGTGAGCAGTGCAATAACTGGAATAATTGTTGCTCCATTATTGTGAGTTAGGCCTCACTATGATACATCAGGGTATTTTAGAGATGAAGAAACAGGCTCAGAGAGGTTGAGTAACTTGCCCAAGGTCACACAGTCACTAATGGCAGGGCTGGGATTCAAATCCAGCTAGTCTGACTTAAAATGTTGAAGTTTACTTTTGCTTTGCTTTTCTTTGTTTAAAGTCTGTATTTAAAAGCTCACCTTCGTAACCTGTGTGACACACTTGAGAGGAATTTGGTGTCCTGAAATGAAAGGTTGCAAGTCATTCTGTGTCCAGCAGCCAAGGGAGAGAAGGATCGGTCTGTGAGCTCAGTCTCTGCAGATGGCCTTCAGGCTCTTTGAGTTGAGATGTGTCTCCTTTGAGGATCTCTACTCTAATGATGTAGAAGGGTGTTCGCTGCAACACTGTCTTAAAACAAAGAGTAAAAAGTGGGAAGCACTGGTCCCTGACACGGTAGCCACCTGGCTATGCAAAAACCAGTACTGTACAAAACTACACAGCTCATTTATAGTCACCTAAACATAATTACATGTCACCTAACATAAATTATAAGGACTTCCACGGCAAGGACACAAATCTTACTAGAAATGAAGTTGATTTTCTCAAGCCTATATTTTGTCAAAATGTAAATAGCTATTCATACAAAGTGACAGTTGCACTTTTTCTTGGATGGTTTGGAAGAAGATTGACTTTATCTAGGATACTCTGCTTGGGTTTACTGAAGTTTCATACTGTAGGGTTTTGTGGAATTGGGAGTCTAATTGACTTTGTTCTTATTTCAATGCAGATTATTGGACTTTAATATGGAAGTAACTGCAGATTATTATGGAACCAGACTTACAAGACCATTACTAATGAAACACTTTTAAAAAATTATATCTGTAAATATTTCAAAAAAGAAACAGATTGAGTCTCCTTGATTTTAACAGAGAAGTCCCAGTAGGTGGATTTCCAGATTTTCCTTTTTTCCTTCTACACATTACCACTTTATGGGCTCTGTCATTTTTGTTATTTTGTTTTGTTGTTTTAGTTAAAAGTATATATTCTGAGATTTATTTAATAGGACTTTGAGAGCTGTATGAAAAAGAGTAAAAGGTTTAAAGCAACCCAGATCAAAAACAGACTTAAAAACCACATTATGGTGCAAGTACATAATGGAATAACAGGCGGCTGTAACAAAAAGGAAATTCCTATGTTCTGACACGGAACTATCACCAAGATAAAACTGAAAAAAAAAAATCATGGTACAAAATAGTGTACAGTTTGTTATTTGTGGAAAAGACAGTAAAGGACTACATGTGTGTTTTGCTTGGACAGACAGAGAAGATATCTGGAAGAACATACAGGAACCCGCAACACTCATCATCTCTGTACAGAGAAGTGGTCGCTAGGGGACAGAATGACAGGCTTTTCACTTTAGGTCCTTTTGTACCTTCTGATTTAAAAACATGTGACCCAGGGGGAGGGTATAGCTCAAGTGGTAGAGTGCATGCTTAGCATACACAAGGTCCCGGGTTCAATCCCCAGTACCTCCTCTTGAAAAAGAAAGTAAAATAAGTAAGCAAACCTAATTACCTCCCCCCAAAATAAATAAATAAAAAATAATAAAATAATTAAAAAAAAAACATGTGACCATATGACCTATTCAAAAAATGCATATCTGAACTCTTCTAAAAATGAATATATGCCCATGCAACTATATAAACACATGTATAGGGGAAATATAAGATTATTACATCAAAATGGTAATTATCTTTTCCTTCTTTTCTCTATTTCTCCAGAATTTTTTAATTTTGTTTCAATGGATATTTTTTAAAGTATTGTTTTCTATGTTTAACTTACTTCTTCCTTGACTGTACCAGTATTTCAACCAGCAATCCTGTTGAGAAAGATCAAGATGAAGACAAGGGACTCCAGAATCCCAATATTCACAGGACTCAACAAAGGAAAAACCTACCACCCCTATGAAACACACGAGATATAAATAAAAAACTACAAAGAATGGTGCTCTAGATGGGCAGTAAAAACTGAGAGGAAAATACCTTTCCATCTGGAAGCAATCACTGAATGACATAATGCACAGCCAGGTTCACAATCCTACTAGAGACAGCAGGATTTCAAATGACTGCTCTTAAACTTCCTGTGTTTTCCCTCATTCTCATTACTGGTAACCAAGGATACCACAGGTTTTCCTAAACTTCTATTTCCCAAACATCAAACTACCTTCCTTTGTTTAAAAAGGGAAGGTAGTAGTGGGGAGGGTATAGCTCAAGTAGTAGTGCGCATGCTTAACATGCATGAGGTCCTGGGTTCAATCCCCAGTACCTCCACTGAAAAATCAAATAAATAAACCTAAACACCTACCCCCTGCAAACAAAACAAAATAAAAGGGAAGGCAGTTTAAAAAAAAAAAAAAGAAACAAATTTTGATTAAAAAAAAAAGTGTATCATTGTCGTGTTTCCTGACATTGGGTAAAACAGAGTTGGAAAAAAACCTCAAAAACCCAGCTGAAAGAAGGGAACTCACCTCATCCTGAAACCAGGGAGCAGTGACCCATCCATGGAATGAAAAGCAGACATGCCAATCAAGGGCTTATCAGAGCCCCTCAGCTATGGTGATCTTGGGCGTGGCTTCTTAGGCTGACATTCACTTGAGTCTATCATCTGACACAGTCATTTTCTTGGTTGCAATTTATGAGCTGCCAGTGTTTACTTGTGAGACTGTCTGGAAGCTGGAAGGGAAGGAAGATAAATGCACCAAAGCCCAGCTGAGCAACCGATAGGTTTTACATTTTATTTCCAGGAAATGACACCTTATTTTCACAAAGAAGAGGTATGCCATGCTCTCAAGTAGAGGCTGCCTTCGCCTCTGAGGGCAACCAGGGATACCCAACCTGCCCAAAACAAATGTTAACAGAGGTGCTTCTGAGGTACCAAAACAACAACAACAACAACAAATTTAAAAAGCAGAACAGAAATATATAACCCATTCAACATGTAGTGAAGCAGAGTCTCCTAAGTTCCCTGAAGCAGTCGGTGTGGTGAGTACCGGGGGTGCTCAGACAATGGTGGCAGCAGGGCTGGCCAGCACGGAGGCTCGTGACGGAGAACTTCTTAACTCAGTCTCTGTCCCATGTGGCTCTATCCCGCGCTCTGTCTCAGAGCGGCTGAAGACCTGTCCAGAGAGAATCTTCCACACCGTCCCAAGCTCCCATCGCCTGGCAGTCTTTCATGTGCCCCTGGAGCATGGTCTTCAGGACAGTCTCTTAGCTTTGGAGAAAAAAAAGTGAGATAAAGGAAGAGCCTACATTTCCTTCCCTGGCCTCCCTGCTGCCTCCCTCAGTTTCTTTCCCACACAGCAGCCAAGATGAACCAAGAAAATAGATGTCAGATCTTACGACTCTGCTCCAAGCCTAGTCCTCATTTCTCCCAGAGTAAGAGTGAAAGTCGAAGTCCTTCCAGAGGCTTATAAGGCCCTAGATGATCTGCCTAGCTACCCAACCTCCTGATCTCCCTTCCTACCCCCTCCCCATCACTCACTCCACCCAGCCACACTGGCCTCCTTGCTGTTCCTCCAACGGCCCTAGCACGCTCCCCATTCCTATTCCCTCTGCCTGGGACACCCTCTCCCCAGATGGCAACACGGCCACCTTAAAGCATAAGTAGAGCATTTCTGAGCTTTATTTTATATCCCGTTCTCAGTGATTACCCTCACTACCCTATCAGAACTGCCAACCCTCTCCCCATCACGCCCTATCCCTATCTTGCTTTATTTTTCTCCACAGCACAAACCACATCTAACTGATCAGATCTGCACTTCTCTTTCTATTCCTTGTACCTAGAATATTTCCAGGCACAAAGCTGGCCTTCAATAAATACATCTGCTAGAGGAAGGAAGGAACTAGGCATACAGCAACAGGCGTATGAGAGGTGTGATTCCTCCTCTGTCCAGCGGGAAGGGGTAGGAGATCTATTATTCACTTGCCTCTAGGGTTTTCCAATCACTTCTGCTTCCTTGATCCCAGGGAAGCAGGGATCTTGGTTTCCACACGGGGCACAATAAAGCCACCAAGGAGATTTGTTCCCGCCCTTGAGATTAAGGTCTGGAATGCTCTGGTAGGCAGATTGAGAGGATTATAAAAGTCACTTTTTTCCCACTTCTGGGCATCCTCTGAGGGAGTGGGCCTGGAGCTGGCCATACCTTCAGCCTTGGAACTGAGAGAACCACGCAAGGCTCCCTTCCTCTCCGACAATGGCCTCACCTAATAGCTCACAGGAAAGTACAGAAGCTGCAAGTTCTCTTGACTCCCCTCAAGCAAATTTCCTTGCCCCGCCTCTCACACTAAACTCTTCTCTCTGTAGACAGAGGGTGTATCCGCCTACGTTTAAAGACTAATTCCTCCAGCTGTGCTCTGCATGCCCTCCCCTCCCCTGCCTTCCAGAGAATCTTGCCCTGTCTACTACCTTGGCCTTTCAGTGTCTCCTCTACAGGGTCAGCAACTGAACATGTGCAAATCTCTCATGTTCTTAGAAAACAAATCAAAATGTCCTTTTACCCCACTTCCTCTTCCAAGTACAGTCTTCGCTTGGTGCTGCCGCCTGCCATCTTAGTTGTGGCCAAATTTCTTCAAGAACTTGTCTATTCTTACTCTCCTCTACTCCCTCACCTCAAACTCATTCTCCAGTTCACTGCAAACTGGCTTCTGACCCCATCAGTCCCCCAAACGTGTACTAGATAAAGCCATCAATGTCCTCCACACCTGCTACATCATCCCAAGGGCAATTTTTCATCCTTATCTTGTTTACCTTCTCAGCAGCATTTCACACTGACTCCTCAGTTCATAACCATGCATTTACTGAAGACCCACCAAACACTCTTTCAGGCCCTGGGAAAGAATACCACATAGAGAATGCCTGCCCTCAACTTTAAACATCTAGGGACAATAACACACTAACAATATAATTTCAATCTGGTAAGGGTTTGAAAGAAGTAATAGGGAGGTGTCTACAAGGCAGTGAAGGGGGCGCTACCTCAGACAAGGTTGTGGTCAGGAAGGCTCAAGGCACACCACTCTAATGTCTCTGGATGCCTGTCCCACACTGCCTTCTTTTTCCACCTCTCTTCGGCCACTCCTCATCAGTCTGCCCGGCATACTACTCTTCCACTATCTACCCTTACATGTAGGTGTTTCTCAGGGATAGGGACTTGATATGTGACTCTCATCACCCACAGAGAGGGTACAAAGTGGCTCATTCACTTTCACAGCTCATGATCCCCAAATCCAGTATCTTAACTCAGGTCTGTCTTCTGGGCTCCAGATCCACACACTGAAAAGCCCACTGAACAGCTCCAGTGATGCCCTCAGGTGTCTTCAACTTAATTTTCAGTTTAAAAGTAAACTTATCTCCCTGCCAAACTGCTCCTTATTTCAGTGAATGCACCACTATCCACCCAGCTGCCCTGACCCAAGCCTGGGAGTAATCCTGGACTCCAAGCTCCCTCTTATTCCTCACAGTAAACCAGTCCCACAAACCTGCAGATCTGCCTCCTTAACCACCACTCAAGTCCATCCATCTACGTGCTCCATCACCGCTGCTGCTTCTCTAGTCCAGCCACCATCATCCTTGGTTGGGCTGCTGCCTCTATTCTTGTTTCCATCCCCATTTATTCTCTTCACTGCATCCACATTCACTTATCCAGAAAAACATAAACATGGACAGTCACATCTCCACTTAAAATTTTTTGATAGTTTTCCCACTGCTCCTAGGCAAAAATCTCCAATGCTGTCTAGAAGACCTTCACAATCCAGTCCTGCCTACTTTTCCAGCCTCACTGCTCAACGCTGTCCCAGCACTCTACAGTCCAGCCACAGGGCACTTGTTTAAGCCCAAAAGTCCCCTTGCTTTCCTACTTCTGGCCCCTATTACCTACACATACACCCACATCCCCTTCACTCCCCTGCCTGCCCTTGACCTTTACCAGGTACCCTTGATTTCTCTTATGGTAGCCCTTTACTGTAAGCAGCTTAGGTCTCGCATCCAGACCAAAAGCTCCACGAAGGCAGGGGCTGCATGTGCCTTGCTCACTTTTATCCCCAGCACCTGGCATTTGGTAGATGCTAAGAAGGAAAGGCTGAGAAGAGAAGGAGCAAGGAAGAGGTGTTTCTTTGGGGTTACTTTTGGTTCAGGTTTCATGGGACAAGGGTGAAAGAGGTCCAAACTCTTCAGGGTAGGAAAGCACACAGGCATTCAAGCGTAGCCCTAGCTAGGAACATGAGCATGTCTGGTCTTATCAGAGTTTCTAAGAACCACAGCAGATGGCAGTTGGACAGGACATATACCCAGCTGATGCAGATACCACAATGATGATGTACTGAAGTCTGTGGTGTTGGGAGTAGGAGGCATAAACAGTGACCCCAGTCACTCTCCATGATCAGTCCATGGAAATCTAGAATACCAACTTATTTGAGCTTGCTCTAAAAATATTCTTTATCTAGAGTTAAGTATAAGAATCAAGAAACTCTCGGGGGAGGGTATAGCTCAGTGGTAGAGTGCATGCCTAGCATGCACAAGGTCCGGGGTTCAATTCCCAGTACCACCATTAAAATAAACAAATAAATAAAAACAGAAATTACCCCCCACCCAAAAAGAATCAAGAAACTCTCAAGGGGAAGCTGCTCTGGTTAATGACACCACTCTGTATTCACACATGTGGTCTTCCCGTGGTAAGTTCTTGGAAGTATATCTGAAAAGTAAATCATAAAGTTATGGGGAGGATCCACTTTTTAGAGAGCCAAAATAACTCTCCTATCATTAAAAAAAAAAGAAGAAGAAAAAGAGGGGAGGCATGAGAAAATTCTGCTGTGGAAAACAGTAACAAATAATCTGAATAACCTCCCACTGGGCCGTCAGGGATAGCCAGAGCTGCTCACGCCTGCTTCTTCTGATGCTCCAGCGTGTATTCGTGTTCCTTCTCCAGGCCCTGTTGCCCTGCCTGGTGGCCAGGACTAGGCCAGCAAGTACTGGTCTTCCCCTTCATGATAACATGATGAGGGCTCACCAGAGTTCCTGACTCAGCAGGCAGGAGGTCAAGATCAGCCCTGGGTCTCTCACGCTGGCTTGCGTGCTTCCCTCATACCCAGCCTATGCATCTGGGGTACACTGAGGGGTAATTATCGCATCTAGGAAGGTCATTCTTCTAAGCTGTGAAAGCTTTTCCAGGTCCCTGGGTAAGGTGGTAGCTTTTGGTGAAAGGGAGGAGACACTGCACTACAGAGCACTAAAGTCGGGAGCGGGCTTTTGACCTTCAAATGGAAGGACCATTCGGAATTCCCCAGGACTATGGAGTCAACAAGAAATTTGAGGTTCTAGGACTTCCTGCGTGGCCACTTCATATATTCCAATTAATTCCATAGCTGACTCCTGCTAAGATCACAGTTTCTTCCCTGACTGGGTTAACAGTTCCCATGCTGTCCTTGCCATTTCCAACTGACCATTCGGACAATAAGGGTTACGAGGCAGACACCCATCAAGGGACAAAGCAAGGAAGGACAATAAGAGACAAGAGAAGAGACAGGAAGGAAAAAAGGGAGGGGCAAAAAAAGACGGGTGGTGATGGAGAATTAAGAAAAAAGCTTCTATTAAAAAGTCTGCTAATTTCTGATCCCATGACAGTTTTGCAAAGGATGAATTTTTAAGTCAGAATTATTAGAATCCAGTATTACAAACTATTTGAGTGCATGCATGTGGACACCCCATCCCATGCTGACCTTGCTGAGAGCCACTGTCTCTTAGACAAACAGTGTACTCTGCCAGGCAGGCATGCTGACTTCATGCACATGACCCTCTAGATTCTCAGGGCAGGACTGGGTGGATTAAAAGTATTTGCTAACAAGTATTTTCTCTGGATGACGTCAAATTGCCAGGCACTGTTACTGCTGCCATTCTCCATATACTCCGTTACAAGGCTCTGTCTTCTAACAAGGGATGATGGGTAATACCAGGGAAAGCCTCCCAGGTGGGCAGGCAGACACTCTCTTCAGAGTAACTGAGAGTTTCTCCCATCCCATATCTGGATCACCCTCCTCCTAGCCTCCAGGAGGCTGGCAAGAGCCATCAGCCACACGATCCTACCTGGGCCAATCTTCCAAGAGACCACCAACCCCTGAAGGGGCCTCTGTCTTACAGATTCAGGAAAGCTGTGGTTCATAAACCTTTCTCCCCATCTCAGCACACCTGAAGGCCATGGCACAGGCCCATGAGTAGCTTTGGTTCAAAATTACAGTATCACAGGAGCTGGGGAGTGTAGTCTGAAAAAGCCCCTGGACTGAAAATCACTGTTCTCAAGGACAAACAAGATTTTATTTCCAGATAATTTTCTTTTTTCTCTTCTGAGCACAACCCGAAGAAACTGCTAGGGAAAGCTTAAAGTGAGAATGTTAACACTCTTGTCAGCCAACCAACATTTAATGAGAACCGAACAAACAGGGAAGGGGGAGCAGCTGACTGAACAGAAGACTCTGCTCCAGCACCTCAGCAGCTCCAGAGGGAGATCCTCTATAGCGGATGTCAAAAAATGCCTTCTCCTCAGAAAAATCTCACGTCAATATCCCAGAGAGCCACAATTACTCATGCAACAAACACTTACTGAACATTTGTTATCTGCCCCAGCTCCAGGGCATCCTCCCTCCAACACAGGCTCTGGCATCCTAACACTCTCCTCCTATCCTCTCCTCTGGATAATCTGGCCTCACAGACTTTACAAAGAATCAATGGCTAATCAATTATGAGGCTTTACTCCTCCCATGGGATATGGGCCTTGAAGACAACAACCAGCCAGGGAGGCCTATTGCGGGGCTGCTTTGGGTGGAATCAGAGCCCCATGCTGCCACAGACAGGCAGGTCTCCCTCTCCGAACTTGTGATAAGAGCAACCCCTGCCCAGGAGGAAAATGGCCCTGCCACAGTGTCAGAACTGTGACAATTACAGGCTTGCCAATCCTAGTTCCCAGATCCTACGTTTCGTCCTTTTAAAAATTCCCATGCACTAGGGATTAAGCCAGCTTTCAATTGGCAAAGAAGGTTGGTATTGGAACTGAGAATTTTCTCTAAATCCCATGCTGCAGCCCAGTGAAGCTGCTGATGGCTCTGGCACATATTTCCCTAAATCGAGCCTCAGAACCTTCTGTCTGCCTCTAGGGAAAACCTCAAAGCTGCACTCACTGCGATAACTGCAGAAACTGAACCAGGTGCCAGAACTGCTCTCAGCCAGTGGATGCAACAGGGAGGCCAGCTCGGTTTACTGTGGCGGCCCCTAATGTTACCAAAAAGGCAGCGAGGCACCCTCTTAAGCCTTTGCAGAGAAAAGAGGGGTTTGATATTACTTACTCTGCAGAATTAACTCTGTGTAAAGGGAATTAGAAGTGAAGTTAGAACACACGGCTCCTCTTTCCCTTTCCAATGCTGCATGAAGACATCTACCATGCCTGGACTTGCGAGAAGAAACCTAGTCAGTGGGCTGGGTGAAGAAAGTACATGAGTGTGGGGAGAAAAGGGAACCCTCGTGCACTGCTGGTGGGAATGTAAACTGATACAACCACTATGGAAAACAGTATCTCGTTTCCTCAGAAAACTAAAAACAGAGCTACAATACAACACAACTATTCTACTTCTGGGTATTTATCCAAAAAAAATTAAAACATTAACTTGAAAAGATACATGCACCCTCAATGTTCACTGCAGCATTACTAATAACAGCCAACATATGGAAGCAACCAAGTGCCCACTAACAGATGAGTGAATTAAGAAGATGTGGTATATACTCAAGAGGTGGAATATGACTTAGCCACAAGAAAGAATGAAATCATCCCATTTGCAAAAACATGGATGGACCTAGAGGGTAATATGTTAAGTGAAATAAGTCAGACAGAGAAAGACAGTACCATATCATTTCACTTAAGTGTGGAATCTAAAAACAAAACAAATAAGCAAACATAGCGAAACAGAAACAGACTCATAAATACAGAGAACAACCCGGTGGTGGTTGCCAGAGGGGAAGAGGATGGGGGAATGGGCGAAATCGGGGAAGGGGTTAAAAAGTACAAACTGCCACTTACAAAATAAATTAAGTCACAGGGACATAATGTACAGCAAAGGAAGATACTAAAATATTGTAATAACTTTGCATGGTGACAGATGGTAACTAGACTTATCCTAGTGATCATTTCATGACATATGAAAATATCAAATCACTGTAAGTCAATTACACTTTAAGAAAAAAAAAGAATAACAAAGAGAAGAAAACAGAAGCATTCACAACACTTCAGCAGACACTTCTTAAAGCTTCGGCTGTCCTCATGCTCCTCTGGAAACATGTAGACATCCTGCCTTGTCTCGGCCACCAGGGAGACACTGACAGGAAAGGGCTTCTCATGCCTCTGTGCTTTGCTTGTACTGATTCCTCTGCCTGGAAAGCACAGTCCTAGCTAGGGAACCTTTAGGACTTAATTCAAATGGCACCTTTTCTGTGAAGCTTACTCCCATACCTTCACCAGCCCAGGCCAAACTGAATGTTCTCTCCTCTGCAGTTCCTAATGGAGTGATGGGAGGCAGAGAGGAAGAGCAACGGATTCTGCCAGAATCAAGTGGCTCCTGGGAGGTGAAAAACCTGTGGGAGCTCAACACTGGGCACAAAATCCAACGGCACATAGTTGTCAAAAAGTTGAAAACACTTCGGTTTTGAAGGACCACAGGGGGGCCATGCCACCCCAAGCCAGAATGTCCTCCCTGGGCATCACAGGCTTAAGCCCACTTCCTGCTCAGCACCCACACCGCCCAGTCCTGTGACAGGCTTGCTGCCTGGCTCTAGCTGACCAACTGATTGCCAGTTCCACCACAGCTGCTTGCAAATCAGCATCAGATTTCTGGCCGTACTCAAAGGGGCTGACATTTGTTGAAGGGCTAGAAGAAAACAAGCAATAGACAGAAGAGCCTATTCTTAGCACTGTAGCTTTTATTAAGCCTTCGGCTTCCCTGGGCTTAGAGAAGGGTACACCCAAAGACATACATGATCATGGGTCACTAATGGCCAGGTAGTGGGAAGCTTTTAGTTCTTCTCTGATGAGCCTTTATGTCCAACCAATTGACATCACAGCACTCTGGCTCTGAGCATTCCCAGAAGGTACTGCTGTACTAGATTTTTAAGGGAACTGAACATGATAATCGGATCCACCCTGCTTCTATGCACTCTCATCACTACCCGATAACCAACCTTTCCTATCCAGTAGCTTCCTTATGCTTTGCCCCAGGACACATCCTTTGCCGTAAGAACATTCAAGTCTCAGAGTGGCTCTGCAACCCTCAACACAGCAGGCCTAAGTGTGATGAAATCATTCAGTTAAATGAGCAGATGTTCACTATGCAAGTGTGGTTCTTCAGCAAAACATACACCCTTCCCCAATCTCTTTATCCAAACTGACTGGGAGACTTGTTTGTAAATATATTAGGATGCCCAAAGTCAACATAGTAGAATTAAATTGATCTCTTTTTGGTTTAATATTTTATACCCAATTTGTGTAATTATGCTGTGTCTCTTACAGATGGCACCAATAAATATGTTTTCTTCACATTTCTTGGCATTCTCCAAGTTGTGAATCTTTGACTTGTACACATCCTATTTATAATTTATTGTATACACAACCCAAGGTTTTTGCGACACCTAGACAGCAACTAAACTGTCTTGAACAACGGCACCATCTACTGAGCAGTACAGCAAACTGTCTGACAGTGTTTTCTAACCACATTTTTTATCCCCATAATCAAGACACAAACACGTACGCTTCCCGCTTCCCTGATGCTCAAAATAACTGTGTTAATTCTATCTCAACTCTTTCTCGTACGTTCATTTTCTTTAAGCCCCTTTACCTTTCCCCATTTCTTCTAGCTCTTCCTTAGCTCAAGAATCATGTATCTGACTCTTCCCCGTTCAAAAAAACCTGCCTAGGTTTCTAAGTTCTTTATTGAGGGGACTCACCTCTTGTTCATACCCACTCACCTTTTCGTTCCCTGATGAGGACAATTCGTCGTTCTTTAACTTCTGAGCTCAGATTATCTACCATTTTATTAATGCAATTGTCCAGAACCAGGGAGTGGGTTTTAGACTTGATGTCCTTCCGACAAATGGGGCATTCTACCTTCCGCTTCATCCATTCATTGATACAGTAGGAGCAGAAGCTATGGGCACAGTTCAAGGTGACGGCCTACGGTAAGAACGTGAACACACACATCAGAACTCTCTTGCTTCCCCAGAGCGGCTGTGATCTCAGAGCTAGGACAAGAGTTAATTCCCAAGGCCAAGTGGAAATTTAACCATAACCTCACCTAGAAGTCTTACAAGGGGTATTAGAATCATCTTCGGAATGGGAAATTTTAAGCTTCATGTTAGATGATTCATTTTCTCTCTCTAAGTTAAGTTCAAAGACTCAAAGGCTGACTCGTCTATTCTGTTTCACCAACTCAGACCACACTGCCAACATGGGTTAGGTACCTTGCATACAACTGTCACTGGACACAAGTAGGACTAGCAAGCGTGTGAATGCTGGTATAAATAATTCATTATTTCTCTTACAAAAACAAATTTATGCCCTAATTGTGAATTAGAACCTCAAATTTTAGATAAACAAGATTATACTGTATAGCACAGGGAAATATATACAAGATCTTGTGGTAGCTCACAGCGAAAAAAAAAATGTGACAATGAATATATGTATATTCATGTATAACTGAAAAACTGTGCCCTACACTGGAATTTGACACAACATTGTAAAATGACTATAACTCAATTTAAAAAACCCCTCAAATTTTAATATACAAATGGGAGCACATATGAATACTCAGTATACAGAATGGAAGGAGGCATCCTCTCTACTGAAAAGCTAAAAAAAAAGTGTATGTAAAAGAGAACTTAGGCTGGAGAAAAAAAGAACTAAAAAGCGGCGGGGAATGTAATGGGTTCGACTGACAGTGCCTTAAGTAAACAAGCCTATGAAAAGAGAGAAAGCAGAAGGAAGCCTTTATTTGAGGGGCTCCTCTGAGTAACCACAATGGTCCACTTTCTGCCAGGGTCCTTTTCACTCCCCAGAATATAAACCATTCTCTTCATTACTCTTGTGTATGCATCCCTCCTACGATACAACTTTTTCTGTAGCTCAAAAAATCTTAATTCCTGCTTTTAGGATAACAGTGGAAAATAATAGATATTATATATTTTCCAAATGCCAAGCTAAGGCCAGAAAGCCATCTAGGAGACATTCTCAGTAAAGGATGAAATGAATTCTCATAAACAGGACTAAAAACCTGTCTGATTAAAATGAAACCTCTTCCCTACACTAATTTTAAGAGGCTACCAGTAGAAAAGGTCAGGCACATGCTGTAAGCCAAACACAGGTCAAGTTGTCTCTTGAATGTCATGCAGATGCTTTAGGTTGCCTAATCACCAGTTCTAACCCCCTCTTTCCTTGTCTTCCAGGTCCATAAGCCCTGTCAAGACAGCACTAACTGAGCTTCTCCAAAGGAGGGAATCAAATGACTGGAAACTATGGGGGAAATTATGAACTGAAGTCAAAGTGCGTCTACAGCAAAAGAAACAGGTCTGTCTAGGACTTTTCAGGAAGCTAACAGGCCCAATCTCCCTAAAGAGCACCAGAAAAAACGAAGCAGTATGTGTATGTGTTTCCTTTTTTAAAGGAGTCTGAAAAGCACTGACATTTAACAACTTGAGTTTAACACTTGTGGTGTAAGATGAACTGGTCACAAATGGTAGAATTTATGAAAAATAAAAGAGAGCGTGTGCAAAGGCAAGACAGGATAACAAATGGTAACCTAAGAGAGGTGTTTCATTTATCATAAGGTGGCTCAGAGCACCTGAAATATGTTCCACTTACTTGGCAGCTGAATTCCCAGTGACTGCAAATCAATGGCATTTGCCCCCCATTTAAAGGCTGCACTGCATGCCCACTCACAGCACGTGCCCATTCAGAGGTAAGAAAGAGTTGCTTTATTGAGCAGCTTTATTCTGATACTTCAAAAATCTAATGCCATCTAATTCTGGATTCTGCCAGAATCAAGTGTCTCCTGGGAGGTAAAAAAAACCTGTGGGGGCTCAACACTGGGCACAAAATCCCACAGCACGTACTTGTCAGAAAAGCATGAAACAAGACATTCTGACCTGTGGGAAGGTGGGGGTGGCCCTCTGGTGGTTCTTTGAAACCAAAGTGTTTTTTCTCTTCAACAACAAAGAGATAAAGGCTTTATTACAGCCAAAAATGTTGCTTTTAACAAATAAACACTCAAAAACAAATGAAGTAAGAAAAAGGACAGTGAAGGTAAAGAATGTTGCAAAAACAAAGGAGACACGGCCATCTCCAGAGGTCTCTTAGAAGTCAAAAAGCTACAGTAAGTTCTTGGAAGAAGAGGCTCTGCGGAATGTTTCCTGGAGCAGAAGCAGCCTGTGCAGCCGAGGCTCGGTTCAGGGCTGGGAGGGTAAGAAGACGTGAGCCACTGCTTGCAACTACCTCAATGAAGTACTCTGAGCAAATAATACACTGGAGCTCGTTCTCTAGCACGTCATTCATGTGGCTAAGAACTTCCTCCTTCTGTGCTTGCACCTTCTCCTTCTCCTCCTGAAAAGACACACAATCCTCCGTCATTCGGGAGAACCAGCAAGTATGCAAAACAGGACAGCGAGCAGAGTTAATCACCTGGAATAGGATTCAGAAGGAGCCAAAATTAAAAATTCAATCTGACACCGCAACACGAGAATAAAACTCTTTCCCCAAGGGTTACTTTTCCTCAGAACTGCTTTCTACTATGGGGCACTACCTTCCTTTCTTTCCTTTCTCCACTTGTTCAGTACGTATTTGCATTGCAGTTTCTGTCTCCTTCCCAAAATTAACCAAATGAGAAAAACTGAAGGTAGCAATATCAACCCCACTAACCACCCACAACCAGAATGATACATTAAGTATCCTACAGAAAACTGAAGTTCAGAGGTGATATAAAATCATCCTAACCAACTAAGAACTCACTGGTTAAGACGTGAGGAATAGTCCATAGAGGCAGGAAGCTCGAATTATAAGGTTCCTTATGTTCTCTGCAGCTGCCTCTTCTATAAAATAAGGATAATACCTAGGCTCCCTGGAGGCAGGAGACTAGAGAGATGGCCTCTTGAAGTACCTTCAGGCCCCACTCTGTGATGCTTGTCACTTTCCACTCCTGCAGTGCAATTACCCTGTGCGTTCCCCAAGAGGAAAGACCACTTGTGGACACACTTTTTAGGGAGGATATAGATGTGCTCTCTTGAAGGAGACATTTATTAATTTAGCACCTCATCCCCAAACAGAAAGGATTAGGAGCCCCTGAAGGGGAGAGGAAAGCCATTTAGGGTATATTTGAGTGGCTGATTCATTTTTCATCTTTTATTTTCCCTTCTAATCAAAGCAAAGACTGTCAGACTGCTTAGGGCAGTTAAGAGGGTCTGGATCCATTTCTAACTAGAGTCAAGTTCCCTGAAAACTTTTGAATTGCTGGATTTAAAATAGATTTGGTGGTTTTTCAGTGGTTGGGGGAAAAGGTAGTATGTGATTTTAACAGAGGATAAGGATAGCAAACCAATTGAAAAGAGAGTCTCCCCATTTCTGTACTCCATCAGCTCCAGGTCTGTACATGAGGAGAGGTGGGCTGAGAGATGCAGTCAGATGCAGGCATTAACTTCAGGTCAGAGGTTGCAAACTGGTGGTCTGTGGACTGGATCCTGCCTGCAGACTTTAGTTAGGCACTAGTGGTATCAAAAAACTGAATGAACTGTTGCCAATACTTGAAAATTGGAATATTTCACATCAACATTTGGATTTCCATCTTTTGTGGAAGACTCAGATCTGACAACACTAGGCTTGCATTTCTGGATGGCAAAGACTGGCTGCAGCAGGGAAGAGCCGCCCCTGGGGGTGGCAGTGAGGGTGGTGGTGGTGCCCCCTACTAATGCTTCTCTGCCTCGCAGCTCCCTACTGTGTTCTCACACCCAGGCCACTTTACTCACTTCTATTATTGGTCCGACCCCAGTGGGCATCTCAGTTTATAACCCCCTAATTTAAGAGTTCCACTGATTTGATGTGGGAAATGATTACATAAAAGCGTCAAGATGAACTATTTTTTATTTCTACTACACCACTCCTTAGCCTATGTCAGTGAGACACTGAGAAGAAACATCTCCCATAGACAGTGGACTAGGCTGCAGGATGTGTCTTATTCCCAGCACTTCACTTCCGAATGAGGGAAGGAAACAGATGTTGCCTTATAGGTAGAACCTTCTACAGGCCTAAATAATTTTATAGATTATTTCCCCTGAGGCAGGGAACGGCTATAATTTCCGCCTTCATTCACCAGAGCAACCCTTGCACTGTTGAAAATGCTGAGTTGCACGTACTAACCAAATTCTAAACCTTCATCTTCCTTCCAGTACCTTAGTCTGCTCCAATTCTTTGTTCTTGGCCTGGATGATTGCTTCGAAGTCCTTCCTGCTGCGATCTAGCTCTTGCATTAGAGCCCGATACTGCAGAAACACAGCAGATACATACTCAAGGTGAGCTGTACTCATCGTTCCTTTCAGCCACACACACACCTGTCCCTCCCTCCATCGGCAGGTTTGGTCCAAGAGCTCAATGGACTGGCAATTTCAAAATAATGCTTTTTCTCCTTTAGGACATCCCATGTGCATGCAGCTTTTTTTCAGGGACAGGGACAGATAGGGAGGGAGGCCATCAAATCATTAATCCCTCTGGGAATAACTCAAACTCTGTGGCCATCCAAATCAGCTAAAGAATTTACACTGCCTTCCAGAGAGTTTGATCCTGTAGGTTTGGCTTGGGGCCCAGGGAGGTGCATTTTTTAACAAAGCTACCCAAGTGATTCTGGGAACCCGTGCAAAAGAACTGGTGACTCTGAGGCTACCCAGCACTGGGAGCAGCTTTTAAGAAATAATCAGGGAGAAGTGGGATTCAGGAAAACTAGATAATGATTTTCATTGAAATAAAAAAGACCTTTAACTTATTCATTCTATAAATTACACACTACATGTTCATAAGGCAATGCTGCCTGGACCGTGCCTGGGTCTTCTGGCACCCAAGAGCTAACAGCTCATTCATTGTGACTAATTGCCTACACCGAATGTCAAGAGGTTCCATTTCAATGAAACATAATTTCTGAGCTCCCTCATGCTTAAGTATAGCTTATACTTTAAATCTCATTTCAAATCCTTTTTTAAAGAAGGTAGTATTTCTGAAAAGACATTACTCAAGAAATAAATTTTAAAATGTGTGGTCTCCTGAAAAAAGCAGTTATGCCAGAAGGCCTGAGAATTCATCCTGACCACTGATTACACGAGTGTGCCTTAACTTTCTCATCTATAAAATCAGAAAGCAGGTGCCCCTACTACATCAGTGTTATTAAGAAAAAAAGGAAAAAAAAAATACGTGAAAGCACTAGAAAAGTTTTTAAAGCTCCATGCAAATGCAAGTTATAATTATAGGCCTGGTAAACAAAAAAGAACATATTCAGAGGGACCAACAGGGTGGAACAAAAAACCATGTTTCATTTGAGCGTGGTACGCCCCCCCAGGCATGCTATTATAGAACCATGACCTAAAAGTATCCCATTTTAGGCTAATGAATGGACATTGGCCAAGTACCTCATGCTAAAAGACAGTGTGTTTTCCTATCTGCCCCAGGAGAGGGTGAGGAGTTGTGAGTGCATGGAACTCAAGACCCCTCAGGGATTTCCAAGTATAAGAATCTTACTTTTTTTCAGTTAATTTCAAAACAATGTCTGAATATTAATTTAACAATTCTCTAAATGGAAAACAAACTAGAAAATAAACGAGCTTAGAAAATGAAATTTCAAAATGATTAGATTTTCACCTAATTCTTTCCAAGGCTGTTTGTGCAACCCTTAAGGAAATCAAGGCAGGTACCCTCCCAAGCACACAATAATATGACTGTTAGCACTGTAAGAATGGTGGGAGGCAGGTATGCAATAAAAGAACCTAAGGATAAATTCTCTTGAACAAATTCTAATGTGATTGCTCACTTTTCTCAAGGAGATATAAACCATCCCACTAACCTCCTAACTTATAACAAACTACTTGTCATTACACATAAAAGACAGAAGACAAAGCAGGTTTCAAAGATGCAAAAGAACTTATAAAAATAATCAGAGAGAGGTAGTTAGGTTAAATTAAAATAAATTAGAGGCAATCTTTTTGGAGAATTTTATTCCTGTGAGCCTTGCCCATTCAGTAAATTGATACATTTTGCTGACTGTTAACTACACATTCTAAACCTAACCTAAAATGCTTAATTGGAACATTCTTGAAGGGTTTTAGGATGGCTTCAGCTCAGCCATGGTGATGTAGTAGAGGCCCTTGGCCCTGGTGACCAAGTCATAGCTCACAATTCTCCTCTGCTGCCCTCACCTTTTTGGAAGTGCAGCCACTTTCCCAGAGAGCCTCCTAACTGCTGAAGGCTCCATTCCATCTTTCCTAGAGCAACCTGGCTCAGATGAAGATGTAAGTTTCCATGCTGAGGTCTGGCATGTCTGTGAAGCTCCAAACCTCTGACCTGATGGTGTGAGCAGCTGCCACCTGCTGTTTACAGACTGGAGATGCCACAGAGGTGTGTGCTAAGCAGCAAAGGCAGCCAGTGGCCATGCCAAGCTGGCTGCCTCCCCACCTCTAACCTCAGGACAATGGCAAGAAATACCTCCTGCAGAGCCTGGGCCAGCTGTTGCTTCAGGTCCTCTTCTCCTTGCTCTTTCTCCAAACCCTGCAAAGCCAAAAACAAAATGGAAGGTTTCCCTGCAGGGAGGGGAAAAAAGGAACAAAATCCAGTAACAAGCAGAGCGACCAGCTAGCGTGAGCATCTGGAAACAACAGGGAGCAGGGAACAGATGCAAAATCTCTCGTTTTACTTCAAGCTGTTGGCAGTAAAGGATTTAAGCAGAGTTAACCTGCTCAAATACTGCACACTTCAGGGCTGTCACCTTCAAGTCACCACTCTGCTTGTTCTGGAGAAACTCTGGATTAATACTTCAAGTCTCCTTCACTGGCTAATGCTGTGACTCCCAAAAGGTTGTAAACTGAGAGCTTTTGAGTCATCAACTATCTCACCTGAAATACAATCCCCTAGGCTGGCACTCCAAGCTCCACTGTGCTTCTTCCATCGATTCTGGCCACTCTGTCTCTCACTCTAAGTCTCTTTACCACTTCTAGCCCCCAAACCGCTCCTCCTCCTGCCTTACCTGAGCTTATGCTATATTTCCTGCATCAGCCCCCTTCAATGTGGATGCCTTCCACATCATCATTCTCCTACCCCAGCTCCTTCCACAAGAACCTCTGGGCCCTTCCCTCTTTAAGAATTACCTACGCATTTAATACGCCAACTGGAAATTGTTCTCTAAATATATTGACTTGAAAGTGTTCTGATTATTTTGTGTGTATAATACATCTTGTCTCCTCAACAAGATACATTCCATAATGGCAAAAACCATTAAACATCTTTATAACCAACCAAACCCAAGTATGTGGGTGTTCAAAAAAATGTGTGTGAACCAGCAAGGGTTAAATGAACTTCTGAGCAAGCAGGCGGGATAGGATAAACCCCTAGGATTTGGTGGCAAAGGGAAATGCAGCTAATAAACAAAGGACTAGATATACTTCGCTATGAGCAATTTATGTATGACCCTTTCATTGGAGAAAGAACCTAAACTAGTCCTTTTTGCCTTTCCTTACCATTTTGGTATGGCAAAAGGTTTTACAGCTATATCTTGAAGCATGCCCAGAGCAGCCACAAAAAATAATTAACAGTAACTCTTGTTCCTGAACATATTAGCCTTTAAAGAAAGTTCTGCTCTGGTCAAAGTGTCATACATTAAACATGTAGAGATAAACCTCCCTCTATTAATTTCAGGAGCTAGTCCTGGCTGGATAGCGCAGCAAAATTTTAGGTACACGTAAGCAAGCAGTGTGTACCCTTAAAAAGACCTACTTAATCCATGGCCTTTGCTAAGACTACCAGTTCAAGTGGATAGCAGAGATTAGAATGAAATCTATAAACTATTCAGAAATAAGCCAACATGACTGGTTGTTTCTTGCCCTGAGCAAAGTAAACAAAAGATAAAAGCTTATTCACTTCAATCCTGATTGGCCTTCTTAGTTCTAAGTCAATAATGGGGAATTCTTGACATTCAGTATTACCTGAGCAAGTAGGTGGGAGTAAAACGTGTGGTTCTTGCCAGGTGAGAACTGATATTTTGAGCAGGGACCAGGATCAGCCCTAGCCTAGAAGCTTTGTGCAAGAGCTTGTCATCTAAGCAAATGAATTGGCGATGTGGACACATTTGCTCTCATCTGGACACAGCTATGGCAGTCATTATTTTACCTACTAAAGGCCCTGTGCAAGGTGGCTTACCACTCAACCCAAAAATTGAGTCATGGTGTACCTGTTCCCTCCCATGCTGGCTTCCCTCCCATGCTGGCTACTCAGGAGAGAAACTAACATTTTCTGCCTTTCTAGCCTCCCACTTCCTCAGTAGCTATAGAGCTAACAAGTTGCCAGGTAAATCAAGGGCGGAGTAACTAGCTGGTCTGTACCTGCCCTGAGTACAGGGATTTGGCTTTGACTACAGAACAGAGAAAGCCAACTACTTGTTTAACTGGGGTGTACTATGGGCATCTTGGCCTCCATCCAACCTCTCTCTCAATTCACCTCAGTTCTGAGGATCCTCAGCTTTATATCCTTTTACATCCTAGCTGGCTCTGCCAATCATCTTTTCCCATCTTGGCATCCCATCGCTGGCTCTTGGTCTGATCACCACGCTGAACCTCAAAGTTTTCTGTTCCCACTACATCTCCTGTCCCTGGCACTTGGCATTTGGTCCCTGACCCAGAAACAGAGAGATCTGGACAGAAGCTCACAAAGGGCCTGCCCACCCCAAGGGGCACTCTTGTCATTCCCTCCTGTGTGGTACCTGGAGATGCTGCTGCTCTTCCTGGAAAGTCTTCTCCAGCTGCTCCACTCTGGCCTGCTGTTGGGCCTGCTCTGCACACAGCTGAGTCTGTAAATCCTGCAGTTCCTGCTCCATTTTCACAATGTTCTTTGAGTTCCCTTTTCGGGTTTGCTTTTTCACATTCAGAACAGCTACCTGTTTCTCGTGCATCTGTGTTTTCAGCTTTAGAATCCTGGACATGGTTGCCCTAAACAGCTCTAAGCTGCTCTGAGATGCTGAAGGGGTTGAGGCTTTTTGCTTCTTATGATGAAGCTCTACAACTTTTGTGGGGTCTGAGTAAACACGAGCCCCCATGGTTTTCCCCCTTAGCTCAAGAGGAGTCAACTTAGGATCCAAGAATTCAGGAGGCTGACTAACCACTTCACCTTTCCCATGTGACTTTACTGGTTGACCAGGTTCACAAGACACTTTACTCATTTTGGATTTCAAATTCGAGGGGCCTTCAGATCCAGAACCCTCTAATTCATCCAAACTAAATTTCCTTTTAGTTCTCAAGCCCTTATTTTTTTCCATCATCTGGTCATTCTTTGGGGAAAGACAAGGATAAATCCTCTCCCAGTCTTCTTCGGTAACTTCATATTCATACTCTGCATTCTCCTTATTTTCCAGAGGCACCCCAAGCTGGATGTGGTCTCCTTTACGGATAGAATAGACCTTTAAAGGCTCTAGACGTTCTCTGTTCAGCCAAACACCATTCAGACTCTGGGAAAAGGGAAAGAAAGACAAAATAAACTTCATGATTTTCTTCCTCTTAATAGAATTTCTCTCCTGCTGCTGCAAAACCTTCTGTCCTTTCAGAAGAAAAACCCTTGAGAACAAATAGGAAAGAAAGATATATAAACCACCATCCTTAGAAATAGCATTCTTCAAACAGCACTCTGGCTTTTTAACCTGTATTTCGTTCATGCCTCCAGAGAACTGCCTGTATAACAGGCAGGAATCACCTTATTCCTGGTGGATGAATTACTCAAATAAATGCAGTAGCATTAAAAGCAGCTGAAATCTGATAGTTCCTATTGACCTAAACTGGGGGCAATGGCCCAAGACTGGAAAAACTGCGATCAGGGACAGAAGTAGCATCTAACAATGAGGTTCCAAATGCATGCTTGGCCAAGAAAGTCATGCAGGCACTGTCTCTGGATGTGGCCCCTGAGCAACTGGTGAATGAGAAAACACATCTCAGTACACATAAACCTAAAATGTACCAATACCTTGTACTGGAGTCAAACTGCGGGTGGGAACTGATCCAATTAATAGCACCAGAGGTCCACGGGCAACAGAGCACAGTGGTTAAGAGCTGGAGCTCTGGACTCAGGCAGACTTGGGTTTACAGCCTGAATGCACCATCTTGGGCTTATTAGTTACGTGGCCTTCAGTAATTTTACTTATCCTCCCAGTACCTCAGTTTTGTCTGTAAAATAGGGATAACACAGTTCCCACCTCATGCTGCTTCTGTGAGGAATGAATGGGATAATACATGTAAAACACTTAGCACGGTGACTCACATATAGTCAGTGCTCAATATTTACTTTTGTGGTTTAAATTAAATCACAGTGTGGGGGTTAAGAGCATGAACCCTGGAGTCAGACTGCCTGGGTTTGTAATCTGGCTCCATTACTTAATAGCTGTGTGATTTAAGCAAGTTTCTTAACCCCTCTATGCCCCAGTTACCACATCTATAAAATGGAGGGTAATAATAGTCTCTCCCTTATGGTGTTTGTGTAGATTTAATGAGATAACATATGTAACGTACTTAGAAAAGTACCTGGCACATGGTAAGCATTATGTAAGTGTTCACTACTATTATTATGTTCTGGCTCAACTGATTTATCAACAATCACTTCAATTCTGTGCTCAGCATCTTGCAAGGTAAATATAC